CGGGGTTTGGGGGGGATGGTGGTGGCAGGGTGTGGGGGTGGGTAAGGAAGGAGGACGGGGAGAGGAAGAATTCCCTGCGAAGTGGTAAAGAGCTGGGTGTACAGAGCTCAACCGCCGGTCTTTGAATCCTAGTACAGCTATTAACTGAAGAACCTTGTAAAGTTGCTTTTACTTTTGACCCCTCATCTATAAAGTGGGGAATAATAGTACCTGCTTCTTTGATAGATTTATAGCACATTTACGCTTTTATTATTTCTCTGAATTTAAGAAGGAAGCCAAAGCCCCCCCCCCCTTTTTTTATTATTACTGTTACTTATCTTTGTATCATTTGTTCCTGAGGCTTACATAAATATATTTTAAAAAATTAGATTTTGCAACACCAAAATATACATACTTTTATATATTTTTTTAAATTTTTGTATTATAGGCTTCCAAAGGGAGAACTTTGAGCTTCAGTGAAAGGCACCAGCAATTAGTAGATAGAAACTACCACAAAATGTTGCACCTCAAGGCTCTAAATAAGATAGAGTCTCAAATCAGGGACCAAATTGTGCGGAATGAAAATGATGATCGAGCTGATCGCAAGAGATTCCTCAGGTTATTACAGGATGAACAATTTGAGTTGGATATGGAAGAGGCCATTCAAAAGGTAAATTTTATTATTCATCATTTTTTCCCCCTTTGTTTTCTCCTTGGAAATGATGAAAGCTAACCGCTCATACTGGAATTGAGTAGAGAGACAACAGCATCAGACATAGGATGCCTCAATGTAAGTCAGCCCAGTCTATTGGTTCAGAGCTGGGTTTTTGGAGCTAGACTATGTGTCTTTGAATCCTAGGACTCCTGTATATTAGTTGTGGAAACTTGGGTGGGTTGCTTTTAATTTTTATGCCTCATTTACAAAATGGGAATAATAGTACCTACTTTGTATGATAGTTTTAATGATTAATGAGTTAATACACGCAAAGCCCTTGTGATAGTGCCTGGAACAAAGTTAGCACTCAGGTGTTTTTTTCTTTTTTTTCATAAATATGATATCCATAATTACTAATGTCCATAGTTTTGTTCACATAAGTACAATTCTGTTGCCTTCCATAAAATTATAGAGACAAACATTTAATACCTTTTGAACTTACTGAGATTAAACGTGTACTATTAAGAGGCAGAAAATGAACACTTACATATTAGGTATGAATTTACTTGTATTTTCAAGTACTGCCTTGAAAAATTTGGGTACAATTTATATCTCCTAAAATACAGAGATAATTTTCCAGTGGAAATTTCTAAATATGTAAAGGGATGAGGGTGGTAGAAAAAGGGAAGCCAATAAGAAAAGAGTTCTCATAAATGTGAAAAAAGTATCCTGATATTTCAGTGTTTTTTGAGTGTCTATTTTATGTTCAACATTTTGTAGGACATTATGGGAAGTGGCGAAAGCAAGCTTTTTTTTTTTTTTAAAAAAAATTAAAAGTAGTAACCATCTCTCTACGTCCCAAATTCCAGAAACTTAGACATGATTTTTTTTTAACCCTGAGCAAGATCTCTGGGTTTAGATTTTTTTCTTATTCTTTTTATTCTTATTTTTCTTTAAAGATAATCCCAAATATCCTATCAACTATCTCCTGCATACTTCAGGAGGCATTTTATAAAATATTTTCTTACATAATGCCACTATTTTCACCCAGTAGAATTATCAGTAACTTCCAGGTATCATTTCATAAGCAGGTTTCTGTGATTATGTTAGGAATCTGCTTTTTCAGTTGGTTTGTTTTAATCAGGATCTAAACAAGGCTCATGCAGTATATTTGGCTGTTTGGTGCCTCTTAATCTAAGACAGCACTTCCATCATCCTTAATTTTTATTGTTGTTGGTTAATTCTCCCTGGAAGACATTTTTCCCATTGACTTTTTAAGACAGAGTGGGAGGGAGGGAGGGAGGAAGACAGAGACAGACATGACCTGTGGTCTCCAGCACACTCCGACCAGGGCGGGAAGCAAACCCCCAATCCAGGTACTTGTCTTTGACGCCGAATCAAACTTGTGACCCTCTGGTGTGTGGGCTGACGCTCTAACCAGGGCTCCTTAATTTTTTTAACTTCATGTTTCTCGATTGTTATTAACTAGGCCAGTTGTTGTATACAATATCCCACATTCTGAAATTATCTGTTTACTTCCTCTTTGTTGTTTTTAATTTGTACTTTTATCTATATATATAAAAGGCTAAGCGACCAGCTGACTGGCTGGTAGCTATGACGTGCACTGACCACCAGGGGACAGACACTCAAAGCAGAAGCTACCGAGCGACAGCAGCTTTGCAGAGTGTTCTCTCGCACTCCAGGACCCCTCGGGGGTTGTGGGACTGCCAGTTTTGGCCCGATCCCCACAGGCCAGGCCAAGGGACCCCACCTGCTGGAGGGACCCCGCTCACTCCACATACACCCTTTGAACCCCGGCACTGCCCCAGGTGCTGTCAGTCAGGGAGGGACTGCGGGAGGTTGGCTCCAGGGCATGTAAGGCCCGTCTTGCCCAGTCCCGCCTCACCGGCCACCTTCTAATTAATTTACTTTTAGTGTGCATGGGCCTCTAGTCTTTTATATTTTCTCTAAATGGAAGTTAGCTTTAAAGGCATGATTAGATTTGTATACAACTCTTCGGCAATTACTCCATAGATGATGCTCTCCTTGACATTGTATCCCATCAGCAGGCACATGCTGACTGGTTGTTTCATTTTCAGTGATGCTAATGTTGATCAGTGGGTTTAGTGAGACAGCCTGGTCCCTCCACTGTAAAGATCCCCAATAAACTTTCATCTATGGTTCATCAATGAATCTTTTTTTTCATTAGGGAGTTGCAAAACACTGATTTCTGTTTTTGTTATTCTTGTCACATTTAGCTAAAATTCCTCTGTAAAGAAATTTCCCTCATCAGCTAGATTATTTGGTGCCCTAAAATACAGTTCTGGAAATGGAGATAGTTAAAGTCAGAGAATAGAACTGGTGCCTGAGCCACTTCCATTGGTGTCTGCCTGTTGTTTTTTAAATTTTTTTTTGTTTTAGATTTTGACTTCTTCTCTTTTTAAAATTATCTTTATCTTGATGGGGTCTTTATAATGGCTTTGAAGGAAAAAGTGTATATGTGGGGGGTGACTTGCAGAATAAAAGACTCAAGAGAAATAATAACAAGATGCAATATATGGACCTTGTTTGGATTTTCATTTGAACAACCCCCGCCCCCCACTAAAAGCATCTTTGAAACAATTAGGGAAACCTGAATATACACAAGGCATTAAACGTTACTAAGGAATTACTGTTAATTTTTTACACATGTTAATTGTTGTATAGGAAGAAATTCTTATTAGGTAGAGATCACTACTCAATTATATACATGGTAATAACATATCTAGGATTTGTTTTAAAATGCACCAGGAAAGAAAAGAACAAAGGAAAATGTAAGAGTGACATGGAAGAGTAGAGAAAAAAGGTTAGTAAAATATTGCTAATCATTGGAGATGAATGATGGCTGCCTGAGGGTGTATTTTAATATTTTTCTTACTATTGGTGATGTTTGAAATTTTCCATGATAAAGTATTTGGACAATTATTCATTTAGATAATAGTTGGTACTTTAAAATAAAACAAATAATTGTTGCTCTGAAGGCACTTGCAGCTTTCTGTTATAAACAAGTAAATTCAGCCTTCATGAAAAAAATCTGATTCTGGAAAACTAAAGTTATGTGCTTTGTTTTGTTTTGTTTTTATTCAGGCAGAAGAAAACAAAAGATTGAGGGAACTCCAGTTTGAACAAGAAGAAAAATTGGCTGTGGAACTGGCAAAACTAAAACACGAAAGTCTGAAGGATGAAAAGATGAGGCAACAAGTAAAAGAAAACAGGTATCATGGTTTCTATAAATTTCATGTAGTTAGTCTTTCTCTGTAAACTTTTATGTAATGCTTGGTTCCTGAGAGTGAAATTTATTTCTTTATATCATTGCAGTTAGTTAACATTTTGCCTGGAAATACTTACTGCTTTATATCCTATATATATTCATTTGAGAAAAGAAGCTGTATTCCTAGAAGTAAAGTGTTAATATTTAAGCTGGGGAAAAATCAATTCCCTCTGCTCTTTCCTCTAAACCTAATTTTTTAAATGACCTATTATTTAAAAAAAATAGACTCATGGAATCCTACTCTTAAGAGAACTTTGGGGTGATACCTCATTTAATTTTATACTCCTATATAAACTTCCTACAGTATTTCTGGAAAGCAGTGGTCATTTGTGATCAACACCTCTAGTGACTGTGATAGGAAATTAGTTTTTCATTCACCCCTAACTTTGAATAACCTTTTCCCCTTGCGGTCTCAAAGTTGATTTCCCTGTAACTTTCATATGCTTATATCAGTTTTGCTATCTGATGGGGCGGAGGTGGGGGTGGGGGTGGGGGGAGGAATTAGTTTTTCTTGAGGACATCCTTTCATATTTATGAAGCCACTAAATGTTTTCTTCTGTAAGCTAGATATCCTTCATTCCTTCATTTGTTCACCTTCTAGGTTCTCTTCTGTAAATCTAATTTAGATTATTGGTATTTCTTAACAAAATATTGCCACCACAATTTCTTTCTTGGTATCACTGCACTTTCTCCAGGATACTGGGTAGTACCCCTAATAGTGGGATTGTTAACCACATTGTTCTAGAAAGTGATGGCGAACCTAAGACGCGTGTCAGAGGTGCCATGCGAACTCATTTTTTGGTTGATTTTTCTTTGTTAAATAGCATTTAAATATATAAAATAAATATCAAAAATATAAGTCTTTGTTTTACTATGGTTGCAAATATCAAAAAATTTCTATATGTGACACGGCAGCAGAATTAAGTTAGGGTTTTTCAAAATGCTGACACGCCGAGCTCAAAAGGTTCGCCATCACTGTTCTAGAATATGTTTCTTGTCTAAGATTGAGTTGCCTTCTAGGGGTATCTATGTCACCCTTTTTGATTAAAACTCAGGGCTAACTAAATGCCCCTGTACTTATATAGTTGAATATGTTGGAAATGTACTTTGATAATTGTTGTGTTTTATCTTAACTGAGAGGGTTTCTGTAGAATATGATAGGACCCATGAATGAGTTTCAGGGGTTTTGAGCCTCATTAAAATTATATGTTTGGCAAATAAACCCATGTATATTTCTTTTTAGGTCCACAACTTTTAAATTCTCTAAAGGGTTATTATAAAAAATGATTTAAAATTACTGCTAATGCCTCCATATTGTTCTAGTCTGAAACTATCTTTTTTTTAAAAATATGTTTTATTGATTTTTTACAGAGAGGAAGGGAGAGAGATAGAGAGTCAGAAACATCGATGAGAGAGAAACACCGATCAGCTGCCTCCTGCACACCTCCTACGGGGGATATGCCCGCAACCCAGGTACATGCCCTTGACCGGAATCGAACCTGGGACCTTTCAGTCCACAGGCCGACGCTCTATCCACTGAGCCAAACTGGTTTCAGCTGAAACTATCTTTTTGTACCTTAATTCTCAAATCATGATAAACTATCATTCATGGTTTTCTATTATGTGACATTCTTGTCTAATTTACTGATAAAAGATTTAAAAAGAGGAGCTTCCCACGTCTAGCAATTGTAGACGAGGTGATGCAGATAAATGCTCCCTCTGAGAAGAGACTGTCTGGAGAAAGCATAACAGTGAGATCTGGAGAGGAAGGAAACCAGAATGGTGAGCTGGGAGTTTGTAACCTGCTGATTCCAAAACTATGGGTGAGAGTTAAGTGAAGCAGAGCTTGGCTAATAAGCAGATGGCCAGGTGTTTGACATCATTCTACAAGTTGTATGTTTCATATTTGTGCACGCTAGTGTATGTTTTACTTCAATAATAAGAATTCAATTAGATGTTATTTGATTGAAACAGATGAAGAGATAAAGTGTTAGCAGGTTAGTGGAAAATATCTAGACTATAAAGCACAGAGAGAAAAAGGATAAAAAAATATACTACAGAACTTCAAAGAGATATAGGATATAGTGAAAAGTTCTCACAGATGTATAATTTTAGTCCTGGTAGGAGACATGAAAGAGGAAGATGCAGAACAGTATTTGAAGAGGTAGTGGCCAAGGATTTCCAAAAATGATAAAAGACATAAAGCCACCAGTTAAAATTCAGTCTATCTATATAAAACCCTATTATGCAAATTGACCAAACAGTGGAACAATCCGTGGAACAACTGGTTGCTATGATACACACTGACCACCAGGGGGCAGATGTTTAACATAGGAGCCGTCCCCAGGCCGCAGGCCCCAACTGGCAGCGGCGAGTGGGCGGCACCAGGCTGGCCAAGGCAGGGGCGAGTGGGGGCCCCCTGATCACCTCACCGGTCACCCCGCAGATTGGCCCTGTTCGCCAGCCAGGCCTAGGGACCTTACCCATGCATGAATTTTGTGCACCAGCCCTCTAGTATATAATGAAAACTACACTCATATTCATCATAGTCAAACTTTTGAAATCCAACAGTAGAGAAAACAAAAATAACAAAAGTAGCCACACAAGAAAGATTTCAAAGGAGCAACAATAAAAAGTATGACTGAATTTTCAGCAGCAACAATAGAAACTGGAAGACAGTGCATTGAAAGGGATGAAAGAAAATAATAGTCCATCTAAAATTCTATACCTTGTGAAAAATTTCTTCTGATTTAAGTCAAAAGTAATTCAGTTGAGCATTCTTTCAAAGAGAGTAAGCTGCCTCTCATCAATTCAAAACTGCTAAGAATGTCTTATTTTGTGCATAAGCCATGGTAAAATTTTGACTGACATGCAGAAAAGACCATTTTCCTAATGAGTATGTTCACTTGCAAACTGGCAAGTCTAAGAAAATGTTTGCTGTGGTACTTAAAATGTATCCAAAATAACCCAAAGTTACCTATGTTTAGATTCAGCTGCTTACATTTAAAATAAATTAATTTTTTAAATGCAGGGTAAATTTTAAAAAATAATTGAAATTTATTTAGAAAATAAGTTAAGAATTCATGAGACTTTTGATTTTGAACACGTCATTTTTTTTATCCAAGAAAATATAAGACCATTTATTTTATCAGTTATTTATTTATTTATTTATTTATTTATTTATTTATTATTGTCTAAAGTTTTACATATGTCTCCTTTTTTCCCAATTGACCCCCTCCTCCATCCCTTCCCAGCTCGGGGAATAGCAGCATAGTATTTCATTGTGTGGATGTATCACAGTTTTTTAACCCACTCATCTGCTGATGGGCACTTAAGCTGGTTCCAAATCTTAGCTATTGTAAATTGTGCTGCTATGAACATAGGGGTGCATATATCCTTTCTGATTGGTGTTTCTATTTTCTTGGGATATAGTCCTAGAAGTGGGATTACTGGGTCAAATGGGAGTTCCATTTTTAACTTTTTCAGGAAACTCCATACTGTTCTCCACAGTGGCTGCACCAGTCTGCATTCCCACCAGCAGTGAAGGAGGTTTCCTTTTTCTCTACATCCTCACCAGCACTTGTCATTTGTTGATTTGTTGATGATAGTCATTCTGACAGATGTGAGGTGGATCTTGTTGTTTTGATTTGTATCTCTCAGATGAGTAGTGACTTTGAGCATGTTTTCATATGTCTCTGGGCCTTTTGTATGTCCTCTTTCGAAAAGTGTCTATTTAGATGCTTTGACCATTTTTTGATTGGATCGTTTATCTTCCTTTTGTTAAGTTGTATGAGTTCTCTGTATATGTTGGAGATTAAACCCTTACCGGAAATATCATTGGCAAATATGTTCTTCCATGCAGTGAGCTTTCTTGTTGTTTTGCTGATGGTTTCTTTTGCTGTGCAGAAGCTTTTTATTTTGATGTAGTCCCATTTGTTTATTTTCTCCTTAGTCTCCATTGTCCTAGGACCGTGGTCACAAAATACCACGTGCGGGCCCGCACGTACAGTGCAATTGAAACTTCATGGCCCATGCACAGAAGTCGGTAATTTGTGGGAGAGCCACACTCAAGGGGCCAAAGAGCCACATGTGGCTTGCGAGCCGTGGTTTGCCAAGCCGCAGTTTGCTGACCACTGCCCTAGGGCTGTGTCCGTAAAGATATTGCTATGACATATGTCTGCTATTGTACTGTCTATTGAGTCTTGTAGAATTTTTATGTTTTCCCGTCTTACATTCAAGTCCTTTAGCCATTTTGAGTTTGTTTTTGTCTATGGTGTAAGTTGGTGGTCTAGTTTCATTTTTTTGCATGTGTCTGTCCAAATTTCCCAGCACCATTTATTAAAGAGACTGTCTTGTCTCCATTGTATGCTCTTGCCTCCTTTGTCAAATATTAATTGAGCATAACAGCTTGGGTTGATCTCTGGGTTCTCTGTTCCGTTCCATTGGTCTTTATGTCTGTTCCTGTGTCATTTATTAGGTCTAGTAGTTTTTTGATGGAGTTTTTACGGTTTTCTATGTGCAGTATCATGTCATCTCTAAATAAGGACAGTTTTACTTCTTTTCCAATTTGGATGCCTTTTATATCTTCTTGTCTGATTGCTATGGCTAGCACTTTCAGTACTATATTGAACAGGAGTGGAGAAAGTGGGCATCCTTGTCTTGTTCCTTTGGTGCCTGGGACAACGCCAAATCAACTGAGCCACACCAACCAGAGTGGCTGCATCAATTTTTAATTCTGCCAAAAGTGCACAGGGTTCCCTTTTTTCTACATCCTCGCCAGTGTTGTTTGTTGATTTATTGATGATACTCATTCTGACAGGTGTGAGGTGATTGCATTTTGGTTTTAACTTGCATTTTCCTGATAATTAGTGATGTTGAGCACCTTTTTATGTCTGTTGGCCATCTGTATGTCCTCTTTGGAGAAAAGTCAATTCAGATTCTCTGCCTATTTTTAATCAAATTACTTTATATTAAATTGTATGAGTTACATTATTATTTTGGATTTTAACTGCTTATCAGATGTATCATTGGCGAAAATCTTCTCCCATTCACTAGGCTGCCTTTTTATGTTGCTGTTGGCTCTCTTTGCTATGCAAAAACTTTTTAGTTGATGTCCCATTTGTTTATTTTTGTTTGTTTTCCTTTCCCAGGGAGACATATCCAAAAAAATATTGCTAAGAGTGATGTCAGAAACTTTACTGCTTATGTTTTCTTCTAGGAGTTTTATGGTTTTGGGTCTTATATTTAAGTCTTTAATCCATTTTGAGTTTATTGTCTCTGGTGTAAAAAGTGATCATTTCTTTCTCTTTTTTTTGCATGTATCTGCCCTATTTTCAGCACTGTTTATTGAAGAAACTGTCTTTACCCATTGACTATTCTTGCCTCTTAGTCAGATTAATTCACCACATAGATGTTGGTTTATTTTAGGGCTCTCTATATATTCTGTTCCATTGTTCTAGGTGTCTGTCTTTATGCTAGTACCATGCTGTTTTGATTACTGTAGCCTTGTAGTATAGTTTGATTTTAAGTAGCTTGATACCTCCAATGTTGCTCCTTTCTCAATGTGATTTAGATATTTGGTGTCCTTTGCAGTTCCATATACATTTTAGATTATTTGTTCTAGTTCAGTGGAAAAATGCCATTGGTATTTTGGTGGGGATTGCATTGAATTTGTAGATTGCTTTGGGTAGTATAGACATTTTAATGTTAATTCTTACTATCCATGAGCACAGTATATCCTTCCATTTATTTGTGTCTTCTTTAATTTCTTTGTTCAGTATCTTATAGTTTCCCAAACACAGGTATTTTACCTCCTTGGGTAAATTTATTTCTAGGTAGTTTATTCCTTTTTAAAAATATGTTTTTATTGACTTTAGAGAGAGGGGAAGGGGGAGAGAGAGAGAGATAGAGACATCAATGAAAAAGAAACATCAATTGGCTGCCCCCTGCATGCTTCTGCTGAGGACTGAGCCTTCAACCTGGGCATGTGCCCTGACCAGGAACCGAACTGTGACCTCCTGGTACATAGGTTGATGCTCAACCACTGAGCCATACCAGCCAGGCCTTCTCAATTCTTAATCACCTCACTGTGTGCTTGGGATCTGCCCTTTCCATGTCTCCACCCTTCCTACCAGTCTTGACATGGCTTCTTCTTTATATCCTTTGTTATAGGAATTCTGTTCAGCTCGTCTTCTGGTGATTCTCGATTATGGTTGTTCTGTAATTTAGCTGTAATTTTGATATCATGGGAGAAGGTGAGCACAATGTTTATCTACTCTGCCATCTTGACTGGCAGACTCCTAAGATAATCTTCAAGATCAGAATTGGGGACTTCTCCAGGATATGAGTACTTATTTTAAAGCTACAATAATTAAGATAGTGTGGCTTTAGCACAGGATAAACAATGGATCAATGGAATAGAATGGAGCACCTCTTCTCAAACAGAAAATTTAGGCCATAATGACCTAAGGCATCCATTATATGTAATGAATGAACTCCTATGGATCTAAAATAATGCCAGCTATATACCATCTTTGAGAAAATTAAAAACACAAATCATTACATTTTCTGTGAGGCCTGGTTCTCTTGTGGAACCCCAGCTGAAGAAGGACGGGATAGAAAAATCCAAAAGCAGATCCATGCATGTATGCACACTTACTTTATGAAAAAACTAACACTGCAGAGCAGTAAAGACATTTTTATAAAATGGACTGGATCAATTGTATATCTGCATGGAAGAAAATGAACTCGGTTTCTGCCTCACACCACATACAAAAAGCATTCCCTGAAGAATTGTAATCTAAAAGTGAATGGTGAAATGACAGAACTTTGAGAGACATACAAGAAAACTACAGGCCTGGTGCATGAAATTCATGCACTCAGGGGGTCCCTCAGCCTGGCCTGCACCCACTCACAGTCATGAGACCTCTGGGGACGTTAGTCGGACATCCTTAGCACTGCCGCAGAGGCAAGAGAGGTTCCTGCCACTGCCACTGCACTCACCAGCCGTGAGTCTAGCTTCTGTCTGAGCCACACGGACCACCAGGGGGCAGCTCCTGTGTTTAGTGTCTGCCCCCTAGTGGTCAGTGTGTGTCATAGCAATCAGTCATTTAGGCTTTTATATATGTAGACTAAAGGCCCAGTGCATGAAATTCATGCACAGGTATGGTCCCTAGGCCTGGACTGTGATCAGGGCCATCTTCACAGGCTGCTGGTGGG